AGAAAGATTCAGGAGAATACACGAAAAAAGGTATGAAAGCAATATAGCCTGAACTAATTCAGCACTTCGTGCCTCATCCTCGGCAATCAAAAGGGTCACAAAAGGCAGGATTGCAAGAATAGCACAACACTAATACTTCATATGTGTCTCACCAGCAATCAAAAAGTGAGTGAATAGATTGCAATACATCTTTAGCAAATAGATGATGGATTGCAAATTCAGCACTTCGTGTCTCATCCGGCAATCAAGAGATTGGCAATCAAGAAGGAAAATATATGGGCTGATTAATATAATGCAAATTACATCTCTGATCCTCTAACCAACTGACCACCAAACCAGGCCCTCGAAAGTTACTCAAAAGTTACTTGAAAGTAACGGGAAAGTGCCTGGAACTAGCGAGGAACCGAACACGTGATTATGATACAGTAAGGCGCAGTAAATTTCGTTAATTTTGGCCAGCACTATTTCATAATTTCGGCCAAAATTAAACGCAAATTTACTGTACCACCTGACACGATATTTTTTTACCATATTTTGATATCTAGAAAAGTAAGCAAACAGGCGCACACCCCATCCATATTTACTAACCAATAGGTCACAGAGAGGAAAAATAAACCCCATCTTTAAAACGTATTAATCAATAGATTATAATGTCTTAGGACATATTAATTGATAGACTATAACATCCTAGGACATATTAATTGATAGACTATAACATCCTAGAACATATTAATTGATAGATTATAATATCCTAGGACATATTAGTCTTAAACAAGCAGTATCCTAAGACATATTAATATATTAATATATTAATATGTCCTAGGATACTGCTGATATAAAGTAGTTATATTTTTGAAATTCCATTTCAGTCATTATTGAAATTTATATAAAAAAATTTATTTTGTTTAATTTATTAAAAAATATTAGCATTTTATATGCAAAATTCATTGATCGTCTAATTTTTAATTTATATGTTATACAAGCTTATAATTTTATATGTGATTAACATTGTTATTGTACTTGAATTTTAGAAAATTTTAATGGATGTTATTAATTAACTTTAAGAATTATAAAGGGTTAGATACTTATTATTGCTACTGTATTGTATATTATACTATTATATCTAAGAAATAATATAATTATTCCAATCAGACGTTAATCGGCTATAATTAAGATAGGTTGAATTTTCGCAATATACTAATTGGCTATAAGTATGCAAATCGGTTATAAATAAAATAGATCAAATTTTGGCTGATTCTTAGCCAATTTCTGATATATGCTAATTGACTAGGCTGATTTTTGATAATTTTGTCGATTTTAAGCTGATTTTAAGCTGATTTTTCATATGTCTGATTTTTTTGATTTCGACTAGTAACATATTTAATAAAAATTTTTCATTTAATTATATTTTTAATTATATAAACAATTAAAAGGATTAAAACAAATTTTAATAAAAAAGATTATGATAAAATGAGAAATAAAATTAAAAGAAATATACAAAGTGATCAGATTTTTTAACACAAAAATGCAATTATAAAAAGTATTTATTATGGCTAAATTATATTATATTTTAAGTTTTATTAAGAGTTTAATTTGATTGAGAATTTTAGGATTTAGTTAAATTAAATCAGTTTTATTATGATTACTTATAGACAGGATTACAATAAATAATTTCATTAGCTTTTTATTTCTGTTCTACTTATTACTATTAAAAGCATTTATTATATAAATGTTTTATTTTATTATTCAGATTCTGATTCATTTTAATAATTAGTTAATTCTTAATAAATTGGTTTCATTTGATATACTGATTTATTCATAATTTGAGCGAAAAAGTAAAAATTAGTATACATTCTGAACTTTTACTTAATAGACCTTGTCAAAAAATTGATTGGTTAAAATAATAGACCAACAGAATTTTTTAGCCACTTTTTAATTGGTCGAAATAATTTTATAAAAATCAGATCTGATTTCAAATTTAATAGTTTGTATGCATCGTAGAAAAATACAGGCAAACCTTGAATGCTTCCCCTCTAAAAGCACGCACTTTTTAATGCAAATTTTCACTATCCCAAGAAAAGCATTTAGAGAGTTGATTATATAAATGAAAAAAAATGTCCCTATTTTTATATTCAAACTTTAAGCAATATGTCTACCATTCAATAAACTTGGCTTTCAAAATCTTTAAATGTTAAAGCAAAATGCTGTTCATTTTTTATATCAAATATCTAGCAAATTATAAAAACTTTTGAAATTATACTTATTAATGGAATGACTGTTGTATTTTTTTAATTTCAATAAATTTTTAATTGTCCTAATATATTAAAGCTTTGATTTGATAACATCAGCGAAGCTAATACAACGATAAGATTACGAAGAATTTGAAAATTTTAATTTGTATTCGCTGTAACAAAATATTTGGTTGGCTCAATGATGAAATGTTTTAATGTATAATGAAATGAAATTTAAAACAGAATAAATATAATTTCATTTATCGCAAATGTTTGTGGCCAAGAATTTAGTGCGCCCAATGATTTTTGATTGAAATAATAAAACATCTGGATCTCTTTATTTACTACTATATATAAAAAATTAGATAGATTGACTTGTATAAATTAAATCGTGTAACCCTGCATCTAATCGGGTGTGTCTTTTTGTAATAAAGGATGAAAGATCTTTTTTTCATAACAATAGATATCTCTAAGTCTAGGGAAAAAGAAAAGGTTAAAAATTCAAAAGAAAAGAAATCTTTGATAAATAATAAAGAACAAGTAAAATCCCCAATTCTAAAAAAAAGTAAATGAAATAAATGGATCTTCAAAACAAATTACCAATAAATTTATTTCTCAAGATATTATATTCCAATTATGGAAATGCTTCAAAAATCGGAATTATTTTGTGCGTTTATACACATCCATAAATAGATTCTACTGCATGCGTTTCACAATAATTTTTTTTTTCCTAAAAGTTTGCGAATGGAAGACTGGAAAGCTATACTGCTTTTTTATTAACACTCTTTTATCACCAAATAAAAAATTTCCACTTTCTTTTTTTACTCTTTCATAAATAGCGACCATAACATATTCTTTTACTTTTGCCGTGATATTTTATTAAGTTAATCATATTTTTATTACAATGGAATTGTTTGAGCCAACAAGGCAATACGAAATAGATATTGTAAGTTCTGATAATTAACAAGTTCTTTCATTTTTGTCTCTTATTCATATATTAAAACTAACCATTAACTAAATTAGTCGTCATACACCCTACACTCTCCACTTTCACCTCAATCACCACATACACCGCCACTGAGTCCACCTTCACCTTATCAAGACTCTCATGCCTTTAATTCAAAACAAATCGATAAGCCAAAAGCTAATAATCCTCTAGTTGATCTAATCGAAACCGAAAAAATATATGTTTCAGATTTAAAATGTCTGTTACAAGTAAGTCAATGTTCAAACTAAATATTATATTAAACCAATCTTTCTTTATCTGACATTAGTAAATTTATAGCAAGTTACAGCAAGTTGGAGTAGAGATAATCTCCCCCCACTAGAGTTGGATTTAATGTTTCGCCATATTGAAATAATTTATAAACAAAACAAAAAGTTTTACTCGGTATGTTTTCAAATATTTATTGCTATTAAATAATTCAATTGATAACTAAAACATCAAATTCCATTATAGAAACTTTCTAAAATAGGATCGAGTCCAGTATTGGCAAGAGATCTTGGTGATACTTTAATGGGTTGGGTAAGTTCTTATCGATTGCATTAATATATCATAATTTGTCTTGTATTTACTTTATTATTTGACTCGATCTATTAATATTGCTCAGGTCGATGATATGGTGGGACCATATACAAAATATGCCGAAAACTTCAGATTAGGTTTTGATTCTTGGCCCGAAATTGAAGAAAATTCGACTTTACAACAGACTTTAAATGTATATAATCATTTATTATTTATTATTTTAATAAATTAAGAGAAAAATTAACTTGATTTTTTTTTTATTAGGATATTTCGGCTGAAAAGAATCAACCTGTTTCTTTGGATTATTTTTTCGATATGCCATTTAAACGACTTCATTATTACAAAAAACTATATATGGTAATATATTTCACTATTTAATCAATGAATAATTTATTATTTATAAAAACTCAAAACATGTTTGCAGCGACTATATAGGAGCACTGAGCCTGGACGTTCCGATGCTAACCTATTATTATCTGCAAATGAACGAATTGATTTTCTTCTTGAAATGGAGGAAGAAATCAAAGGAGCTGTGATGACTTCGTCAGTCTCTGAAGAAGTTGTTTCTTCGGTGGTAATTTCAGAAGAAGTGTCTTCACTAATAATTTCTTCGGTTGAGGAGGATGTTTCTTCAGCAGTAATTTTGCCTGTTGAAATAGATAATGATGAAAAAGATAATATTTCTATCAAGTCCCCTTCAACAAAATCACAAAATATTAGTTCTCCAGTTGATTTGAAGAATTGGACCATGAAAGACTTAGAAAATCAACTTGATACATCCAAAACTAAAGATTTATTTACAAAATTACCAAAGGTAAATTAATGAATTTAACTTATCACTTTTAAATTATTTTGATGAAATTAATAATCCTTATAATTCCTTTCTTTTATAGATTGTAAAACTTTCGTTTTTTTCAACAAATCTTCCTTTCAAACGTGAAATTGTTCTTCATGATGATTTTATTATTGAAATTACAGAATCCATGAATTCAATTGATTTATCTCACATTAATGTTCATATGTTTTTATTGACCGACCTTTTATTGATTTGTCAACAAATCACTCAAGAAGAAAAGCAAGAATTTTTCTTGGAAAAGGATATGAGATTATTATATCCACCATTGAGTACAAAACATCTTGCTATCAAGGATGTAAGCGATGGTGAAGAAGGTTTGTAGTTAAATTAATATACCTTTCTAATTTTAATAAATTTCATTATTTTATATAAAAAAATTTTTTTTTTTTTTAGAAATGCTGGAATTGACGGTTTTGCAAAAAGAAATGATAGTTATTTATGTAGATACCAAAGAAGTTAAAGACGATTGGTTGAAAGAAGTTACTAAATCTATTAACCTTTCTTTTAATGGTATTTTTGATTATATTAAAAATAAATAAATATATACAAAAGCAAAAATAACTTGATTAAATTCACATTTTTTTTAATTAATTTATAGGAACTGAAAAGCCTCAATTAGGTATAGATTTAAAGGCCGTCCGTAAATTTGATAATAATTCTCAATTATCAACTCCTCCAATGTCTGCAAACGCGATTAAAAGAAGTCCAAGTGTAGGTAATCTGATAAGCAAACAGCAACTTCAATCTCCATCACCTTTAGGGTCTGGGGGGTTTAATAGTCAAAGTTCGAGCTTATTTCCATCTACGCCTGGTTCAGATTCTCCTATCGTACGTTCACTTACGCCAGATCCACCTCGAAATGTGGGTGGAAATTATCCTGGTGATTACGTGCCATTTGCAGAAGGAAATGAACAAGGAACTGGACAAGGACGTCTTAGCGATCCAATATCACCTTTGGATATAAAAAATAGACTGAATGCAGGATTACGTGAACGTTCTAATTCTATAGCTTCGCTCGCATCAGTTATGAGTATCGCAGTTGATCAAGAAACAATTTTCAGATCATCCTCATGTGAAGTATTTACATGGGTAAATGGAGAGTGGAAGCCTTTGACTAAGAAAGATAAGTGTATTGTGGAAATTCGTATGACAGCTCAAAAAAAAGGATGTTGGGCTATAATATTGGGATCATCTAATAGAATGGTTCTTAACGCATGGATTTATTCTTCAACCACCCTTCATCGAGAGGATGCAAATTCTTTTAGTATATCATGTGAGATGGGACAAAGACGAGAGTATTACAAGATTGACACAATAGATAGTACAGAATCTGATCAATTTATTGATAGCCTGTTGAAAGTTAGGGAAAGTGCAAGAGGAAGTCTCAATGTTTCACCTGAGTTCATTTCTCGATCATCTTCATTACAAACAATTGAACCTTTGCGGGAAGTAGAACAAACTATTACGCAAATTATGGAGACTAGATGTCGTGTATTTTTACAAAATGATCATGGAGTTTGGACAAATCTTGGATGGGGTAGTATGAAATTATCACTTGAAACGCCTTCACACCGCAAGAGAGTTATAGTCAATTCTGATAAGAAGAAAACAAAGACAATAATAGACGCGATTATCTGGGAAGATGGTGTTGAAAGAGTTGGAAAGTGCAAAGTAGCTCTTACGTTGAATAATATGGGTAATAATATGCGAATCATTTATTTACTTCAGATGAAAGATGAAGCATCGGCTGTCAAGGTATTTGACATTATGAAAGAAAAGCGGAAGAAATGAATTAAATACAAATCATTTAGTGGGACATAATTATTGTACATATAAATTTAGGCTTGACGAACTTTATTATCAAAAATTGTGAACTTTTTTTTTTAGATACAATTATAAAAAAATTAGTTATTTTTATTTTTTTATTTATTTAATTATTATTAACAATTTATAGAAATTATCAATAGAATTTTTAATATAGAATTAAAATTTGGCGCAGTTTTGCACAAAAAAAAAATAATTATTTATAATGTCCAGAAAAAGAAATTTCCCCCCTGCATCATTGTTACATTGTTTTGAAGATTCTATAAATAATTAACTCCATATTAATTTGCCAATTATATATTTAAATCCAAATTATTATTTTTCTTCCCCCTGAACTTTCGTTTTTTTTTTTTTTTTTTTTATTTTCTTTTACTTTTTTAAATATCTGCCATTTTATTAAATTTTGTGAACTTTTTAAAAGAAACATGTTTTCAATGACTATTCTCTCATATCGAAGAAATAAAAAAAATGCAGACCCAAAATATCAGGAAAACCTTGCTCATGTTATTAAGGATATAATTTTAGGAGGTGATCATTCAACTCATTCAAAAAATCGTAAGAAGGCTAAAAAAGCAGTTAAGGCTTTACAAGATGAAACGGCAGCAAAGGGCATGATAAATGTATTAAAAGCAATGCCAGACCCAAACATACCTTCAATGGAAGTTACAGTTATAGAAGAAGAAGAAACGAAATCAACAAACCCTTCTGAATCATCTAGTAAAAAAATAAAAAAAGAAAAGGTCACGATTAATCCACCTTCAACAAGTTCCATTAAATTATTTAAACCACCTCTGGATAGCATTTCGGCTTATGTTTACTGGTGGGGTTATGAAATTTATGTCCCACAAAATTGTATGGGCAGATTAGATCAAGCTCAGAGCGTTGGTGGCAGTTTTTTGGGATTTTTACAAGTGGTAGCAGGAAATGCTTCTGCTATTTCTCCTTATTTCGGCTTTATTTCGGCTTGGGTCAGTTTACAATTTACTGTAATTAAAGCTCAAAATCTTGGTCAAGGTGTTGTTTTGGCTGCTACTTGGTAAGATCATTCTTATTCTCTTGTAATTTATCACGTTTATCAAATTAAAATATGCATTTATTAATTTTTAGGGTTCTTCCCGTGGCTTTAATTCCAAGAGCATGGTAAATATATTTCCCTTTATGTTTAATTGATCCTTTTTAGTAGGACCTCTAACTTTACTTCTTTAAATTTCTTTAGGGATGCACCATTCGAATAATATCGTCTTAACTCGCAACTTATTATTAATATTTATGAATAATTACTTTATAATTACATTTTATATATTAATTCATTAATGTCGTCCTCGTTCCCATAATTTTATAATTACTTAATAAATTCTTTAAATTATACGTTTAATGTGTTACCTGCTGTTAAAATCGCGCTACGCCATTATATAATTTTTCCGCTTCAGACACGTCATTTGCTTATTCTATTTTAAAATACAGGATACTAAATTTAAAATAAACTATAAAATCTGTATTTCTTTTTAGGAAATTTTCGTTGATGATAAATCTGCTTTAGCCAATATGATAAACCCGGAAAAAGTGTAAATATTTCCGTTTCACCAACTTTTTCATTTGGAGAAAAAAGAAAAAAAAAAAAAAAAAGTTTCTTTTTTTCTTTTTATTTTTTATTTTAATGAAATATACTTTAAATTATGAATTCAACGGTCTCTTTACCAACCAGCTTTACACAACCAAATATTGAGAATGAAGGACCAGAAAAGGGTGACAGTTTATTAGATAGTACTATTAAAAAGACTGGTTACCGTAAAAGGCGTTTATCAAAAATACCGGCTCCAGTTATAATTCCCCCGCGTTCCCCTATTATTATAAGTGCCCCAAGTTCCGCTAAAAGTGATTCATTTTTAGATTTACCTTCCCCAAAAACTCAAAGTCCAACAAAAAAGTTTATTATCAACCCTATAACCGCGTTAACTGCTGCTTTTCAAAGAACTACTTCAACAGGTCGTAAAACTTCAACGACTACCTCATTTTTAAAATTCCAAAAATCAAACAATCCAAAATCACATAAACCAACCTCTCCAAAAGCTGCTTCTCCACAATCACCAAAATCACCAAAATCACCTAAATTTTTACATCGAAAAGGTAGTTATGATTTTAATCGTAAAAATTCTGAAGGTCTTATTAGTCCAACCTCTAATTTCCTTTCTATTAATGTAGCTCAATCTCCAACAAATAATTCTAAATCCACCGGGTTTTTCGGAAAATCTTTTTCATTATCTATCAGTACTTCTAATCAATCTACAGCACCTAAATCTCCATCAAAACTAAAATTTAATCTTAAGTCACAAAAATCCCTTTCACCATGTAGAAAAGCTTCACCAATGGTACCTTCCGAGCTCGCAGAAAGAATGAGAGAATTCTCATCTTATAGTACAAAAGTTGATGATTCATTTTTGCAAAGGTTACCTAAACCTATTTTAATTGATGTTCGTAATTTGGCGTTATACCAAGATGATCATATTCGAGAATCCTTTAATGTCAATTTACCAACGCTATTGATTAAAAGATATCGTCGCGGAAACATGAGTAATTTTTCCTTAGAATCATTTATCACAACACCTGAAAGTCGTGATAGATATTTAGACATAGTGAATGAAGATGGTGATCAATATTGTCATGATGTTATAATTTTTGACGAGACAATGGATGAAATTGATAAATCTAGTCCAGGTTGGACTTTATTGAGTGTCTTGGAAAGAAGTTATAATTCTCCACCTTCTGATAATGTCGAAGAAAATTATGAAACATCATCTAGAGGAAGAGTATATTGGCTTAAAGGAGGGTTCGAAGCATTTAAGTCATGGGATCAAAAAAATGAATTTATTGTAACAGGATTGGAATTTGGTCCTTCTTCCGATAAAGGTTCTGTTGATGGTACAGTGGAATATGAAGGTCAAGAACAACAGCAACAACACTCTAGTTTAGTTCGCAGAGATTCTTTGTTTTCTGTAAATACTGAACGAAATTCTCTCAAGCGTAAAAAAAGTGGTAAACAATCCGAATTTAAATCAGAAAAAAACATGCAGCAACCACCACCTCTAGAAACAAATGTTGGAACAAAGCAGAATGGAATTTCACGTGGGCGACGACCTTCAAATGGGTTACAATACTTGTTTCCAATTAATGGCAATTGTAAAATTGGTAAGTAATGAATTTTTTTCAATAACTTTGAACTCATAAGAATTCTACTAAATAACAAGAATAAATTATAAAATAATAATAATATTAATAATTATAATAATTATTATCCTTTAAATAAAGGTGAATCGTTATCGCTTTATCCAACTCCTTATGACTTTCCCGACACTGAATTTGATCCCGTATCACCTAAAACTTCCACCCCTATAACACCTTCCGAGGTTGCATTCGTAGTTTCTACTATAATTCCTGAATTTCTCTTTCTAGGTCCAGATATTACAAAGAAGGAAGAAGTGGATGAACTGAAAGATAAAGGTGTAAGAGGGATTTTAAATATGGCTTTCGAATGTGAGGATAGTCTGGGATTAAAAGAAAAATTTGATCGTTATTTAAAATTAAATATTAAAGATGCGATTGAAGAAGATGTTGAAAGAGGATTAAAAGTTGCTGTTGATTTTATAGGTATGAGGTTTAACATTACAAATTTATTCGCTTAAGAAAAGAATTTATATAATAATATATTATTACAAAATTATAATAGAGCGTGCTCACGAGGATAAAATGCCAATTTATGTTCATTGTAAGGCTGGAAGGTCACGTTCAGTGACGGCAGTTCTAGCTTATCTAATTAAATCGCGTCAATGGACGTTGAGGCACGCTTATGATTATGTGATTGAACGTAGAAGCGTTATATGTCCTAACATTGGATTTGTTGCAGAGTTAATGAGATTAGAGAAAGGTGTACTTGGTATTAAAAGAAACAGTGGCGCTGTTACTGAGTTTTATCTTAGAAATAAGGAAGAAATGTTTGTTATGGAAGGTGTTGTTGAACCATTAAGTAAACCACCGAGAACTGCATTTTTTTGAAAATTTGCAACTAGGGAGATGATATGTTATATATATCTATCGCATTCAACGTGACGATATCTTTAAGAAAAAAGCACGCTTGCATTTAAGAACACGATCGCTGTTTTGAAACGTTGGAGATATTTCAATCGTGAATGTTGAAGAAAAAAAAAAAAATTAAATATTTTATTTTTCATTTTCAAATTGAACTTGATTATGAATATTTATTTTAAAATCATTTTTTTTTTTGATGTCACCCGAACAATAATTCTTATATATATATTATATATTATTTATTTATTTATTTCTGTAAATATGTTTTTTTTAAAAAAAAAAATTAAACCAAGTTATTTGATTAAACCTTCAGGAGTCACGAGCTGCTTGCTGCGTCTTCCCCGTTTTTTTTTTTTTCTTTTCAAGGCAATTCGTGGCGTATGTGGATAAATTAAAAAAAGGGTGAATCTTTTTTCTATATTGTATTTGTTATTTATTGTTCATTTGTAAAGTATGATAAATATCATGACGATCGGTATGACATTGTCTATAAATAGATGTAATGAAGTTATTTGGCATCCGGTTGCATCCAGTGTTTGAGGTACCTTTTGTTAGCAGAAAGAAGGAAAGCTAAAGGAAATTCAGTCACAACTCAAATTTTGAGACGTTTATAACTAATAAAGATTGAGTCGCAGTATTTAGATTATCAATTTAGTTTCTTCACGAAATTCAAAAATTTATAAAACGCGGTTCCAAAGCCGAGATTTTAAATCTGATCCTTACCAAATGTTAGAAGTGATATCTTCGAATTAGAAACGCGTAATCAAATTATGACGTTGTAGCTTATTTCTGATTTTTTTTTTTACCTCGGTGATTTGTGCTTTTGTTTCTAGTTTAGTATAAAAAATCTGAGAATTGCATCAAAATATAAAAAAAATATTTTCATCCGACTTTCCTTTTTTTTAATAAAAAAAAAAAAATAATTACTGATACCATCCATCCTCTTGTCTCTTGTTTCTCTTTTATTTTTTTTCTTTTATTGTTTTCGTTTTAATAAAGTAAATGTCGGTTAAAGTAACAGATTTTGTTAAACGACCTGGCGTAGGTCGTGAAGGTCGTCCTTTAAAAGTTAGAGCCAATTTTTTTGAAGTAACATCTTTACCTGACTCAAACGTTCACCACTATGACGTTACTATCACACCGGAGGTTCCTCCGTCATTAAACAGAAAAATTTATTGCGAGTTTGAGGCTTTAAATGAAAACATCCTTGCAACTGCAAGACCTGTTTTCGATGGTCGCAAAAATATTTACTCTCCCAAACCGTTATCTTTTGGCGAAAATGATGCCGCTACGTTTGATATAACCCTACCAGAGGATGACGGTGCTCCGTTGGGAAAAAGACCTCCTCGTGCTTTTAAAGTCAAAATTAAGAAGGCCGCTGTTATCAATATGGAAGAGCTGCATAGATTTCTTGACGGAAAGTGCAAATCATCGCCAAATATTTTAACAGGTTAATATTCATTGATTTTAATCGTATCCTTATATTATAGTCCAAATTAATCCGATTCTAATGTTAATTAGGAATTATGGCACTGGATGTTTTAATCCGTCATAAACCATCAATGATGCATGTAACACACAAGGACGATGAGATTATGTATGCAACAGTCGGAAGGTCGTTTTATACGAATCAAATCTCACAATCTCTTTTTGGTGGTGCTGAAGTATGGCAGGGATATTATCAATCTGCAAGGCCTACGCCAAAAAAGATGATGATTAATGTTGATGTGAGCGCTACTGCTTTTTATGAAAGTGGTAGTTTAGTACAAATGGTTGTTAAGCTACTCAACAAACGTCATCCTGATGACCTTAGGAGGGGAATTCCAGATAGGGATCGTGTAAAACTTGAGAAGTCTTTAAAGAATGTAAAAATTCGCGTTACTCATCGCGAAAATGCCTCCAAACGATCGTTTAAGATTGTTAAATTAACTAATACCGCAGCGAATGCCACCAAATTTGAAATCGAGGGTAAAAAGACTGACGTCGCTTCATACTTTCAAAAGACCTACAAAAGACCCTTACAATTCCCATTTCTTCCATGCGTTGTCGTCCGAAAGGACACATCCTTACCAATAGAAGTATGCGAGGTAGTCAAGGTATGTAAATGTGCAATTATTTTTCGTTTTGTTTTGAGGCAATCAAATGAATCGTTCAGAAAGTGATAAATATATACATATATATGTTTGAAGCAAGAAAAACGGTAATTTTTTTTTTTAATTTTAGATTTATTTGTATTATTTCTTAGGGTCAGCGACATATCCGCAAATTGAACGAAAGACAGACAGCCGATATGATTAAGTTTACTTGTCAGCAGCCACATGTTCGTGCGAATAAAATTATGCAAGGTCTCGACATTCTTAACTATCGAGAAAACGAGTATATGAGGCAATTTGGGTTACAAGTATCTGAAGAAATGGCCGTAGTTCCAGCCAGAGTACTACCTGCTCCAAAAATACAATATCATCCTTCTTCTCGCGATGCTGCCTTTACTCCAAAGGATGGGTCATGGAATTTGCGCGATAAGAAAGTTGCTACTGGTGCCACCCTTGGTTCATGGGCATGTGTTGTCTTTGGAAATTTCGAAATGCAAGCCGTTCAGCATTTCATTAGAGAATTGGTTAATACTTGTCAAGATACCGGAATGAATATTCCAAATAAGAATCCACCTATTGTTCAAGGAAATCCACAGGGCAATATTGAACAGATGCTGAGGCAAGCCTGGGTTAAGGCTGGAAACATGTCCAAATCACCACCTCAGTTGATTGTATGTATTCTTCCAAATACTGGCGTACCATTGTACGCTGAAATAAAACGTGTTAGTGATACAGTAATCGGTGTTGCGACTCAATGCGTTCAATCAAAGCACATATTTCAAGCCAAAAAGCAATATTGTGCGAATGTGTGCCTGAAAATGAATGTTAAACTCGGGGGCATGAATTCGTTCATTGAACCAAGTCAAGTTCCGTTTATTTCGCAACGTCCCACCATTTTAATGGGTGCCGACGTTACTCATCCTGCTCCCGGGGGTGATGAGTCTCGTCCATCCATTGCTGCTCTATGTGCTTCAATGGACGCAAAAGCATCTCGTTATGCTGCGTCCATTCGCGTTCAAGCGGGTAGACAAGAAATCATTAGTGACTTGTCAGGAATGGTGAAAGAGTTATTAAAGACCTTCTATCAGACCTGCGGTAGGAAACCGGAACGTATTTTATTTTATCGAGATGGTGTCTCAGAGGGACAATTCGAACAAGTACTTGACTTTGAAATCGAAGCAGTGAGAAGTACGTATACATATTTATTGTACAAATATTTTCTAAATTTTCATTATCTAACATTTCATTTCATTTTTTTTTTTTTAAAATATATATAGACGCATGTGCGTCACTTGATGCGAACTACAAACCAACCATAACCTTTGTGATTGTGCAAAAACGTCATCACGCTCGATTTTTCCCCATTGATAAAAGAGATTCCGATCGAACAGGCAATTGTCTCCCCGGTACAGTTGTTGAATCAGTTATAACCCATCCTTTTGAATTCGATTTCTACCTTCAGAGTCATGCAGGTTTACAAGGGACTTCACGTCCAACACATTATCATGTTTTGTATGACGAAAACCGATTTAATGCGGATTCACTTCAAAAGCTATCTTATCACTTGTGTTACGTTTTTGCTCGATGCACTCGTTCAGTCTCACTAGTCCCACCGGTGTATTATGCTCATTTAGTTTGTAGTAGAGCTAGATTCCACTCACGTAATGAAAATTGGAGCGATCAAGATTCAGAAAGTGGTGGTTCAGTATCAAGTTATGGTATGGTTAAACCAGACTTGCAAAAAGTTATGTACTTTATGTAAAAAAAAAAAAAAAAAAAAAAAAAAAGACGGAGTATTTTTCTTTAATGGCGAACAAAAAAAACATCACTGATAAATTATATATATAGTTATTATTATTGAGAAGTTGGGAGTATGGAGAGCAATAAACGGTAATGCTTATTTCTGCTATTTGCGCGTATTTGTTTCATTAATTAATCATTGCATTGGTTTAAATATTCATTTAATATTCAAGAAGTATTATTTTTTTTAAAAGAAAAAAATCAAATAAAAACATTTTTATATTATATATATTACATATGATTTTGTTAGTAAAATACACTCACTACACATAAGTAATGAAGGTTGATCACTATTGTAATATTTATTAGAAAGCATGTAAAAAAATTGTTTAATAAAAATATTTTATTAAAATTTAAAACTCTCGTGTTGTGGTTTTTTTACTTATGACAAAATAATGATTAAAAATGGAAACTTTAATAAACCATATTTGATTGATGTGATTACGATCTATTTTAAACAATTAATTTTATGTAGATTAAATTCTAGTTTGAACAAGTTGAGCCCAAATCAAATGTCTGTAAATTCTAGAAACATTGATTGGCGGACTCGATTTTATCACACAAAACAAGCATATGATTTACAATGCGGACGCAGTCTCTCTCATTTTTCCCATTTCAATTTTACTGACGGTTTCAATCATGTCAACACGCTCTCAGAGAACTGCTGATAAAAGTCTTAACCAGAAACACACAAAAATTCTTAAGGCGTGTTTAGAACAGCCCGAAAATAAATACTGTGCAGATTGTAAAAAAAAAGGTTTGATGATTGACAATTTTGTTTTTTTTTTTATTTATCCAATATGCTTTAACATTATTTTATTTTATTTTTTTTTTTTGCGATAGATCCACGTTGGGCTTCTTGGAATTTGGGCATTTTTGTCTGTATAACTTGTTCTGGTACTCATCGATCTATGGGTACTCATATTAGTCGAGGTAGGTTGCGAGTGGTTTTTTTTTCGTGTGTAAGAAATTTCTTATTCATTTTTATTAATATTGAAATATGATGCAATCTAGTCAAGTCCGTAGATTTAGATACTTGGACACCCGAACAAGTTGAGAAAATGGTACTCTGGGGCAATGCAAAAGCGAACATGTATGTATATACAACCATTTTTTTTTTTTTTTTTTTTGTTGTCATATATTCTTTTTCTCTCTTATTGATATATATATATCATCCCCTTTTATTAGTTATTGGGAAGCTAATTTGACGAATAAGAGACCCTCGGAAAGGTAAGCAACATGTTTTCTCGTTATCGAATTTAAAACAATCATTATCTAAACTTGCTTTATTTACATAAAGTAACATGGATAGTTGGATTCGAAGAAAGTACGAGTTGAAAAATTGGGTGATGTCGAGAGAGATTCCAGATCCGAAAACTTTAGGTGAACCAAATTTAGAAGAATCGGTAGGAGCATTAAATTTATTTTTCATTCATTCATTCATTCATTCCTTTTATTTTATTTTATTTTTTTTAAAAAACGAATTGTCCCTGCTATAAAAGAAACGAGGAGAAATATCGGATAAAAAAACGGTTGATCTTTTGTCAACATCAACATCAACTAATTCGACAAAGAAATCACCAGCTATATCGCAACTTCAAGGAGCAGATTTATTTTCTATAAGTTTACCAACGACAAATACAAGTTCGGTTCCATCAAGCCCCACTCAAAAGAAAGAAACGCTTCCAATGCCTAGATCAGCTACTCCCAATCCTCTTGGATCTTCAACTTCAAATAATAATGAACCTACTCGTCATGAAAATCTTAAATCTTCTATTCTTTCTTTATACAATAGTCCTAACGTTCAACCCCATTACAATAATTATAATATTAATAATAGTAATAATAATAATAATAACCGCCTTCATACTAATCTTAGTAATAACAATAATAATAATAACAATAACAATGGCGCTCAATCATCATCAAATATGGATGATCTGATGAGTATCTTTAATACACAATCATCATCATTTCCCCAAGTACAACAGAATCTGATGCCACAAGGAAGTCAATATTTTGCTACTTCTCAAACATCTTTATCGGGGAATTCTTTTGAAAAAAAAACACCTTCAAAGGCTGATGAGTAAGTTTCATTCTCTTGTAAATATGATTACTTTTGATATATCTTACTAATCATATTAAAACCATAATTATTATTATAGTGCCTTTAGTGGTTTGCTTGATGATTTTACAAGTTTTAAATGAGTGTTACACGGAAAATTTTTTATTTTTTTTTGGCGGGGCGGACTTTTTTTTTTAAAGGAATGATCGACAATTTAATGGTGGGCAAAAAATAATATCTGATTGGCTAAGATAGTCGGTCCTAAACTGGTTTAATGGAGGCTGAAAATTTTTTTTTCTTTTAGATTATTTACTATTAGATTTTACTCATTATAATAATTATAATAAATTCATCTTTCACATGTAAGCGGACGTCCATATAAGGCGCGCAGCACAAAAAAAAATTATATATAATATATATATAGACGTGCTAAAAAGATCAAAAACTTTTTAAATAAAAAATAATGCCAAACAAATCATCTTTTAGCATTATCGATATTCGTAAGAATAAGATTATTAATGAAAATTTTATCAATGAAATCCTTGACGGACTGAATTCAAAGAATTCCATAAAGTCTATACCAACCGTAATCCTTTACGACAGCCGCGGTCTGCAACTTTTCGATCAGATTACTTATCTTGATGAATATTATCTTACATCCGCAGAACAAAACATCCTTAGAGACAAGGTTGATCGGATTATCGAATACATTCCCAATGGCAGTTCTGTGATCGAATTGGGAGCCGGGTAACACAGATCTACACGTGATTTTACGGTTTCCAATTCGGCGATTTGATCAAAATTATTTTAATTAAAAAAAATTTTTTCCTTTTTGTTATCCAATAGTTCACTACGTAAAACTAAACTTATCCTTCAATCCCTTGAAAAGAACAAAAAGAACATCACATATTATGCGCTTGATCTTATGGAAGATGAGCTCATAAAGTCATTATCCTCACTTGGAAAATTTTCCAATGTTCAACTTGTCGGGTTATTGGGGACTTATGAGGAGGGAATGGATTTTGCCGCGAGTTTACCCGAGGACGTACCAAAAATGATCATGTGGTTGGGTTCCTCGATTGGAAATTCAAGTAGGGAGGAAGGTGCGGAATTCATTAAATCTTTTCAAACCAAGGCCATGAATCCGGGGGATTTGTTCTTGATTGGAATTGACAGACGTAATCACCCTGATAAGGTCACCATCGCATACAATGATCCAAAGGGGATAACGGCCGAATTCATCTTGAACGGGTTGGATCACGTTAACGTGATCTTGGATCAACCCTTGATCGATCGGAATGATTTCGATTATTTCGCCAGATATAACGAGGACGTTGGTAGACATGAAGCTTATTATAAAACCAAGAAGGACATCACGTTAGAATACACGTCCCCTAGTGACAATACCAAAATGACGATTAATTTGAAAAAAGATGAACTCATTCACATCGAGTATTCCTACAAATATAGTAAAGAAGAATGTTTCGCTTTATTTCATGATAGTCGGCTATCGTATCTGGAGAGTTGGCCGGATCCCGATTCACAGTATGACCTTCACTTAGTTTACAAATCACCCTTTTACTTTACAAGGAATGTCGAATCGCAGGGATCGATACCTACGGTTGAAGAATGGAAAGAGCTTTGGAAGTCATGGGACACCGTGACGATGACCATGATTTCACGTGAACTTGTACTGGAGCGTTCCATCGAGCTCAGGCACCCATTCATCTTTTACCTTGGTCACGTTCCGGCGTTCCTTGATATCAACCTTGCGAGGTATTTTAAAGAGGAATTCACGGAACCTCGGAACTTCGCGGATATCTTTGAACGCGGGATTGACCCCGATATGGATGATCCAACAAATTGTCACCCACATTCGACCGTTCCCGATGAATGGCCAAGTTATGATTCCATCATCTCCTACCGTGATAAAATTCGTCAGAGAATCATTTCCGTGTATGACGCTTACAAAGAAAAGGTTATGCCGAGATCTCTTGGTCGCGTTGTTTGGATGACTTTTGAGCATGAAGCCATGCACCTGGAAACGATCCTTTATATGCTGATTCAATGGAAGAATACCGTACCGCCAAAAGGTGTCGTCATACCACGATGGAAGGCATCCCTTGATCCCGTACCAAAAGCCAACCTAATAACGATCCCAGCACGAACCATCACACTTGGCCATGACGACAATGAAAGTGCCGATGATACCGACCCGCTGAGTTTACCGTTTGGCTGGGACAATGAACGACCATCAAGACAAGTCACGGTCAAATCTTTCAGGATTCAATCACGTCCGATCACAAATGGCGAATATCTTGATTTCATGGAGAAAACGATAAACAAAGGGTACCCTGCTTCATGGATTCCCGTCAATCCTTCGTTGTTTACTTACAAAGTTCGCACCGTGTTCGGACCTGTGGACATGGATGTTGCCAGGAATTGGCCCGTGTTGTTGAGTCAAGATCGAGCATGTCGTTATGCCGAATGGGCAAAGATGAGACTTCCCACTGAGGAGGAATTGAGGAGCTTTTATGATTTGTATGAGCCACAATTGGACTTATCATCGAACATTGGATTTTCTCATTGGCACCCCGTTGATGTGCCCCATGATAAAAACGTTGTTCAAACGGTGGGGTCCGGTTGGGAATGGACGTCTACGGAATTCAGCGCACATCCCGGGTTTAACAAAAGCAAACTTTATCCCGGGTACTCTTCCGATTTCTTTGATAGCAAGCATGTAGTAATTTTAGGAGGATCCTGGTAAGTTTTTTTTTTTTTTTTCATTTATTCAAAATAAAAATTTCTTTAGTTCAATAATTAACCTCGGATCCCGTTTTTCAGGGCTACTCATCCGAGGATAACGCGTCGATCTTTTAGGAATTGGTATCAACGCGGATACCCTTATATGTTTTGTTCCGCCAGATTGTGTCAGATTTAGATAAATTAAAAAAAAAAATACTTAGTCATAATCATAAAAAAAAAAGTTACATCTGATAAATAAATCGATTTTCCCATGAAAAAAAAAAACCTTTAATTAGGGATTGTAAAACGGTTGGGGTGGTTATACAATTCAACATGATCAAACACAGATAAAGCATAGGATTATGGGTTGATTCAACACAGATAAAGCAAGATTCTATGATTTATTTACATGAAAAAAAACTGATAAATCAAGTTATTTGAATCGTCGTTGAAAAAAGATCGATTTCGTTCGATTCTATAATTCGATTTTTATGCCACATTACCATATTAGTTTGGTGAACAAAAGATACCTCGTGTTTGATGCATACTTTGGGGTTTTACGTGTTACATACATTAACCTGAAAAAAAAAAAAATAATTTAATTTTATTAACATTAAAACAAAATTGAGTGAAGTATGAATGGCGAATTCATTAAACCTAAAATAATTTTTTTTTTTCCTTTAACAAGTTTTTTTTTTTTCTCTCTCTCTTATTATTGTTTTTTTGTTTTGTGTTTTTTTTTTTTTTTTTCCCATCTCGAAAAAAAATTTTTTTTTTATTTTTATTTTTTATTTTTCACAAGGTGAACTTCCGCGTGTTTGGACATGTGGAACATATTTATTTTTTAATTTATCGTATTTTAATTTTGAAACATTTAGAATTTAAGAATGTTTTAATCTTTTTTTCTATGAATCAAAAAAAACGTGTCAAATTAATAAATAAATAATATGTATTCATTAGTGTTACCAAAACATCATCTCGAAAGGAAAAAAGGAAATCGTTTCATCGAAAGTTTATTTTTTTTTGTTTACCCAAATCATTCAAAGTCATTCGATTCATTCAATCAATCATTTCATTCAATTCAATTCATTCAATTTTTTTTTTATAGTTCTCGAATGGAGGAGGATGTAATGTGTTTATTTTTTTTACTTTATTTTATTTTTTTTTTTTTTTTTAAAAAAAAAAAAAAAAAAACTTAATCAATTTATTCATTCATTCATTTTTTTTTTTTTTGATAGACTGGAAGGATGTGTGATAGATGTGATGACCAAAAAAAAATTTTTTCCAAGAGAAAAAAAATGGTATAACAAACAACAATAAATAAACAAAAAAAAAGAAAAAAAAAAAAAAACGATAATTAAAAAAAAAGAAAAAAAATGCTATTTTTGTTTTTCCTTTCAAGATGAAGGATTCATTAAGCGTTGATGAAATTATTTTATTTTTAAAAATTTTTTTTTTTTTTTTTTTTTCCGAGATTAAAAAAAGCTTCGCTCTCTTCTCTCCCTCACTTTTTTTTTTTTTTTTTTTTTTTTTTTGTTTTAATAAATTTAAGAATAAAAAGGAAAAAGACTATTTACAAGAAGAAATCGATTTTTTTTTTTTTTAATCAAAATAATTGTAATTCATATCTTCGGAACAAACAAAAAACAAAGAAACAACCAAAAAGGAAATTAAAAAAATTCTTACAAAATTCTTTTTGAACCCGGAGGAAGTACAATTCAAAAAAAAGAACAAATAAAAAAAAAACAATTACAACCTCTTCAAAGAAATAATAAACTGGGTACTAAAATGCTAAAATGAGGATAATATGTACAAAAAAATATTTTCGACAAAATAGAGAGAACGTTTGTCGAAAATGTTCCTATTGCTACCAATAAAATAACGCAGAAAATATTTTTCTCCAGAGCAAGAATAAGAAAATTGAAATGGGAAATGGGGAATGGGGGAAAATGAAAAGGAAAAAAAAAAAAAAAACAAAGGAAAATTTTTTATAAGGGAAAAAAAAAAATTTTTTTTTTTGGTTTATTTTTTTCTGCGTAAATTAAGTAAATTAAAGTTTATTCTGCGTAAAATAAAAATGAATATAAAATTTTTTTTTAAAAAAAATTATTTTTTATTATTATTTTTTTTTTTTTTTTTTTTTGTGCAAAAGTTGACAAAGAAAAAAAAAATGGGGAAACAAAAGTTGGTCTGCTCCACGAAAAAAATTTCAAAATTAAAATAAAGAAATGATTTAAAAAAATAATGCGTTTTTAAACCATCCCTTATATGTTTGCAGATTTGAACAATTTGCCTGCCGCATTGCTCGCCAATGTAGCTTGAGCGCATTGCGCGGCATTATCACTCCTCAAGTGACGATTTAGAGCATCTAATCTTGCGAAAGCGCGACCACAATTCT